ATATATATATACTAGCTCAGTACCCAGCTTTTCTCGGGGTCGACGCCTTGACGTCACTGCTCCTACTGGTCTACGCGCGGAGGTATTTTACATCTATATTGCTGTCTAGCCTTTAACAGTCACACCTGGCTTCTAGATCTATATTGCTTTAGATTAGGTCTGCCTTGATTAACTCCTCTCTTGATCTACATTGCTTTTGTGTATTACTATTTAGCCCTTCACAATCATAAAATACAGGTTTCGCCTTACACATTCACAAAAAAGCACTAAGAAAATAATAATCCTCGAAAGGGCTACTACACTGTAAAAAGAACCCACCGACGTCTTCAAAATCACAGAGGGCAGTGTCTATAGTTTGTTCACTTTCCTATGACAGCGTTAAAACAATTCTAGCGCATTGACAAATTTACCTGTGCCCACGAAACTTTGCATGGCACTTCTACAGGCTAGCGACCAGTCAAAAAAAATTTTTTTTAATTCTTGACCCAGTTATTAAAAAAGTTTTTCTCTTTGGGCCCTTTACGAAAAACAGCTCTTTGGGTGCATACACAGGATCACGTCTCCACGTACTTCAGGTGAGTCTCGAAAATGACTCACCGCGTCTCTTAAATCGTGTTTCTCAGGCGACCGTTAAAGAGCGGTAATGAACTTACGCAATAATCACAAAGGCCAAAGAAGGACGGGAACTTTTGTTATATATATTTTTCTAAATTCAGGATGTGAATAAATAAAAAATCGGGCTCCGTCATGGGAACCTATCCATCTTTTTGCAGGTACTTAACTTCCAACTCTGTAGCTGTTGTAGTTTTATGGGAAAAGTGACACATTTGTTTCCAAGTTGCTAAATATATAACATAGACAGAAGCAGACAAACAGAGGTTCAGATAGAAATAGAGAGAAAGAGAAAGACATAATATGATGGATATTAAGGATTTTTTTTATTTGTGTTTGTAGTTCAGAGATCAATACAAAAGTACTAACAAAAGTTGAAAACAGACAGATAAGATAGATAGATAGATAGATAGATAGATAGATAGATAGATAGATAGATAGATAGA